CCTTTGTCCTACTTGTACTATGTGTTTGTACCTTTGTCCTACTGGTACTGTGTTTGTTCCTTTGTCCTACTTGTATTATGCGTTTGTTCCTTTGTCATACTTGTACTACCTTGTGTCCCTTTGTCCCACTTCTGCTACCAGACACACTACAGGTCTTAATTAGTGAGGTCCTGACCCTCCGGTTCCCCGTCAGGTAAACAGTTAGCTGCCGGCTCGGCCATATTGAGAACCGTGTGGAGACAATCCCTCGATCATTCGCCTCCTCTCACTGGCTGCACCTGAACACCTCACCTCTCCTCTTCTCTTCTTTCTGGCCGAGACGAAACAGGAAGCTCTCTGGTCTCAGACCGGCTGTCCGACAGGAGGCCACGCCCCCTAAGCTGGGGTACGAAGGCGACTGATTGGCTGGAAGAAGAAAAGAAGAAAAACAAATCGATCAATAAATAGAAATGGTTCATTAAAAGTGGACGGAGTCATTTCTCTGTTGTCTTACCTGTTGGAGACAGAGCAGCTCTGTCCTCCCCCTAAAGAGACACAACACAGAACATTATGGAAGTCATGATTCATGAATACAGAGAATATCATAAGAGGCATCGTTTAAGTCCACTTTAAAACAGCACATAGCTCTGTTCAACAGTGTGACATGCACATAGTCAGACAGACAGAGAGAGACAGAAGGCATGCAGGTTGCAGTACCTGCAGCAGACAGGAGGTGGAGCTATCAGAAGCGTGAGAATGACAGCTGTCTACAGACAATCCAGTCAAAGACTGACAGACAGACAGAGACAGACAGAGAGACACACAAGGAGAAAAGAGAGAGACAAACATAGAAGGTGGCAGAAATAAAAGATGAAGGTTTAAATACAAACAGAAACAGAGCTCAGACATCTGTGTTGTGTTCATGTCTCTACGAGGAGCTCGTTAAAAACAGTCCAATAAACAGGCTGCAGTTTGGTCAGAAGGTGGCGCTGTAGGCTTTATGAACGTCTGTAATCTACCAGTAAACAGAGAGCAGAATAAGAAACAGATGGAGAGACGTCTTCACTTTAAATAGATAATAAATATCTGCAGAAACAGCTGATCAGTCATGTGACTTATTCTCCATAATCCATTCAGCTTTTCTTATGAGAAACTTCAAAATAACAACAAGAAAAACGCTGTGACATAAATAGTGCTGACACACTGAAGACAAACCTGTCTGTGTGAACAAGGACATCTGTTTATAGTGTTGGTGTTAAAGTCTGTCTCAAACACCAGCACACACTGAGACACACAGACAGAGGGACAGACACACAGACAGACAGAGGTAAAATAGGAGGAGCAAACTAAAAATAAAGTGAAGAAAAGACAAATATAAAAATATAAAACAACAAAAATGAAGAAAATCAAAGTTGATAATATGAAGGATTGACAGAGGAAGAAGAAACAGATTTAGTTTTTATATCATGATTGTATTAATAATGAAAAACTTTGCATTTAATTTACAATAGAAACTAATTGTTATTAATATCGAAATGTTTCATATTTTTTAAACATCAAAATCTAGATTACAATATATATAGACAGGTGGACAAACAGACAGGTGATCGCAGCAGACAGGTGGACAGACAGACAGACAGACAGAAAGCTGCCTGTTACAGATCCTAAGTAAACTACAGACAAACACAGGAGGTGAATATTGAGATGGTGACAGGATGCTGATGGATGAGTGAGGTGTGGAGGTTACTATAGAGGTAACACGCTCATCAAAACCATTCAGATTTATGTAGATTCAGTCAGATCAGTGTTTATGGTCACGTCATCGTCACACTGCAGACGTGACCTCTTTTGTCCAGTGTCTCTAATGTACCAGAACCTTTAAGTAGTTATTGGTAATCAATCAAAGTGACAAGAAAGGAAGCGGTAGAAAACGTGTTTGTTTGTACCTTTGTCATACTTCTACTACCCGTCTGTACCTTTGTCATACTTCTATTACCCGTTTGTACCTTTGTACTACTTCTACTATCATATTGTCCCTTTGTACTATTTCTACTACACGTTTGTACCTTTGTCATACTTCTACTACCCGTTTGTACCTTTGTCATACTTCTACTACCCGTTTGTACCTTTGTCATACTTCTATTACCCGTTTGTACCTTAGTACTACTTCTACTACCCGTTTGTACATTTCTACGACTTCTACTGCCCGTTTATACCTTTGTCATACTTCTACTACCCGTTTGTACTTTTGTCATACTACTACACGCTTGTACCTTTGTACTATTTAGACTACACGTCTGTACCTTTGTACTATTTCTACTACGCGTATTTACCATTGTACTATTTAGACTACGCGTCTGTACCTTTGTACTATTTAGACTACACATCTGTACCTTTGTACTATTTAGACTACACGTCTGTACCTTTGTACTATTTAGACTACACGTCTGTACCTTTGTACTATTTCTACTACACGTCTCTACCGTTGTACTATTTCTACTACACGTATGTACCTTTGTACTATTTCTACATGTATGTACCTTTGTACTATTTAGACTACACGTCTGTACCTTTGTACTATTTCTACTACACGTCTGTACCGTTGTACTAATTCTACTACCTTCTGATATGCGAGGGGGGGGTAATCTAAAATAGTCACTTTTTAAAGCTTTCCAGCGATTTTTATTGTGAAACAGCTACAGGAAATGCTATGTGCAGTTTCCTGTGTTGACGATTCATAAATCCGAATGATTCACGCCAGCTTGTTCTGATTTCCTTTTAATCTTTTGTTGTTAGTAGATTTTGGGGGGCGTGGCCAAATTCTTACCATGAAGAGGGCGGAGTCATCTGTGTGGGTGGAGCGTCTGGAGGGGTAGACATTCTGAACACACATGGACAGACAGACACGAGGCGAGGGTGAACATGTGTGGAGGGGGGGGGGGGGGTCGCTAAAACATCGATTTAACAACCACAACCAATCTGATTCTGACAGATGAGAGTAAAATAAGTTCTCTTTTTTAACCAGAATGAAAAGTGGTTTTGTTGTCAAGGCGGTTTAATAAGAACCGTGTGTGCAACACAAAGCGTGCGGTCAAAGTTTTATCGCTGTTCATTGTTACAGGTGTTTTCTTTCAATCTAGTCCCAAAAGAATGGAGAATCGGTAGAACTAGTTTACAACGTGTAAGCAGACACATGACACAATAAACTTTGTTAATAAATAAATAATAAACATTTCTAAGAAGGTAAAGGAAGCTGAATACAGTCGGATGATTCAGCAGGAAGTTGTTGAAGCAGCTTGTCACGTGTCACGTGACGTGGTCATGTGATGTGGTCAAGTGTCATGTGACGTGACATGGTCAAGTGTCATGTGACGTAGTCATGTGATGTCTGTTGTGATGTACGTGCCTGTTGTGATGTCTGTTGTGATGTCCGTGTCTGTTGTGATGTCCGTATCTGTTGTGATGTCCGTGCCTGTTGTGATGTCTGTTGTGATGTCCGTGCCTTTTGTGATGTCCGTGTCTGTTGTGATGTCCGTGTCTGTTGTGACGTACGCGCCTGTTGTGACGTACGCGTCTGTTGTGATGTCCGCGCCTGTTGTGATGTACGTGTCTGTTGTGATGGCTGTTGTGATGTGTCTGTTGTGATGTACGCGCCTGTTGTGATGTACGTGTCTGTTGCGATGTCTGTTGTGATGTACGTGTCTGTTGTGATGTTCGTTGTGATGTCCGTGTCTGTTGTGATGTCTGTTGTGATGTCCGGGTCTGTTGTGATGTACGTGCCTGTTGTGATGTACGTGTCTGTTGTGATGGCTGTTGTGATGTAAGTGTCTGTTGTGATGTACGCGCCTGTTGTGATGTACGTGTCTGTTGTGATGTCTGTTGTGATGTACGTGTCTGTTGTGATGTCCGTGCCTATTGTGATGTCTGTTGTGATGTACGTGCCTGTTGTAATGTACGTGTCTGTTGTGATGTCTGTTGTGATGTACGTGCCTGTTGTGATGTACGTGTCTGTTGTGATGTCTGTTGTGGTGTGTGCTGTGATGCCTGTGTCTATTGCGATGTCAGTTGTGATGTCTGTGTCTTTTGTGATGTCCGTGTCTGTTGTGATGTCCATGTCGGTTGTGACGTCTGTTGTGATGTCTGTAGAGTCTCACCTCACTGTCTGGACTGGACTTTGTTGGACTTTGAGCTGTTTTATGCTGAAAACCAAAGCAAAGAGAGTTAGTGAAACCTTTAATCTTCTGACCTCATGTTCAGTGACTAGTTAAACTAGTCAGTGACTGGTTAAACTGGTGAGTGACTAGTTAAACTGGTACCTTAGTGTTGATGGTGACGGAGTCTCTTTGCAGAGATCGGTTCTTGTGTCTCTCCTCGTCGTACCTCAAAGCAGCGAGCTGAGCCTCCCTCCTCATCTTCTCCACCCCCCCTGTAGCTACAACACCACCTCCTCTCTGAGGGACAGACAGACAGACAGACAGACAGACAGACAGACATGAGTAGCTGAGATTTGTAGTAAAACATTAACCAACTGATTTGAGGTGTTACCTGGCTCTGGGCACTAGAAGGCGCCGTGACACTATCAACCACACTCCTACAGGACAGACAGAGAGACAGACAGGATGTGAGACAGCTCAGAGTTGGTTTACAGTCAGCATGTTATTTCTTATTTTATAAACCACACAAAGAGTTGTATTACTGCACCTGTTGTGTTTCCTCGTGTCTTCTGTCCTCGAGTTGGTTTTCACCGGAGAACCCTGGACACACAGACAGGAAGTCACACAGAGTTTATGTTTGTGGTGAAATATTGTAGATATCACTGATATTGATTAATTTATGGTGTGGAATACGCTGCTCTGCTCCATCTACTGTAGTAAAATACCAACTATGAGAAGAACTTGTCTCTTTAACATGAAGCTGTGTGACCTCAGTGGGCGGAGCTCCTACCTCTCTGGTGATGCGTCTCTCGATGTAGGCCATGAACTGAGAGCTCAGGCTGATGCTGTCCCTGCTTCCTACTCCTCGTCCTACTCGACTCCTTCCCTCCTCCCCCTCTTCCTCCACCACACAGCTGTCTATGAAGTCGATCTGCTCCAACTCCATATCTGGAGGAGACAGAGAGAGAGACAGAGAGAGAGCCAAAGAGAGACAGAGAGATAGACAGACTCCATCACAAAAATTCTCCAGTTTTCTTTGAATAATCAAATTTTTCATCGATGACAATCTGTCATTTTCTGAACATGATGAACTCACGTGTGCCGTTAGCTAGCAGAGCTCCTCCTCCTCCTCCTCCTCCTCCTCGGTGTCTATGGTCTCTGCTGATCTCGGCCACTCTGAGCGGCAGCTCTGAAAGCTCCTCTGTAGGCTGGACACACAGACAGGAAGTGAGCTCAATCACAGACAGGAAACAGAGGACAGGACATGTGTGTGTGTGTGTGTGTGTGTTCAGTGTGTGTGTGTCTGACCTCGTTCCCCGACCATCTCTTGTCTCCGCTGTCGACGCTGTTGAAGCCAGAGTCCAGCGCTCCGTATGGACGTCCGGGGTACAGCTCATCAACACTGATACACAGACATTTAGTCAGACAACATCCCTCCAGACTGGGCTTTTATTGTGAAGGTTACAGTCAGTGGCATAATGGGCTTTTATTGTGAAGGTTGCAGTTAGTGGAAGACTGGGCTTTTATTGTGAAGGTTACAGTTAGTGGAAGACTGGGCTTTTATTGTGGAGGTTACAGTTAGTGGAAGACTGGGCTTTTATTGTGAAGGTTACAGTTAGTGGAAGACTGGGCTTTTATTGTGAAGGTTACAGTCAGTGGCAGACTGGGCTTAAGTTTAGGTTTTCTTGTCTCTATAGATGGAAAAGATGATTAAACATTGAGTTTACAATTATTTAAAACAGATAATGAACTGACCAGGAGCTGAAGGTCAGAGGTCGTCTGTCGTAGTCTGGGAGGTCAGGGGTCGTCTTACTGGCCTCCAGGTTCAGATACTTAAATATGTGGACCTTCCCTTTAATACAGATCTACACACACACACACACACACACACACACACACACACACACACACACACACACACAGAGGAAACACTCATTCTCATGAAATACAAACAGACTCATCTCTAGCGGCCATGAGTGATGTCACTTCCTGTCTGTACCTGTGCAGGTGGGGTCTGCAGAGGGTTGTTGTCGAGGACGATGGTCTGTAGCTGAGAGAGCCGTCGGTAACAAACGGGGATGGAGGTCACTTTGTTACAGGAGAAGTCCAGACGGACGAGAGGGAGGTCTGCCAGCTCTGGACACAAGTACACAGGTATTTATCATACTGTGGTACTAATAAACACATATATACACACATGTACTAACTGTGTGTGTGTACCTGGAGGCAACTGCACCAGGTGGTTCCTCCTGATGTTCAGGTCTCGTAGAGCCTCCAGCTGACCCAACTGACACGGTAGAGTCTGGATCTCATTACAGCTCACGTCCTGCAGGAGGACGTCCACAAAACCATCAATAACACTGATCATCAATAACACTGATCATCAATAACTCTGATCATCAATAACTGATAGTAACTGATCAATAACTGATAATACCTGGTTAATACCTGGTTAACAACTGTCCATAACTGATCAATAACTAATAATAACTGATCACAGCTGTCCATAACTGATCAATAACCGATCAATAACGGATCATAACTGATCAATAATGGATCATAATGGATCATAACAGATCATAACTGATCATAACGGATCAATAACTGAGCAATAACTGAGCAATAACTGAGCAATAACAGATCATAACTGATAACAGATCATAACTGATCAACAACGGATCATAACTGATCAATAACTGATCATAACTGATCAATAACGGATCAATAACGGATCAGAACTGATCAATAACGGATAACGGATCAATAACTGATCATAACTGATCAATAACTGATAATAACGGATCATAACTGATAATAACGGATCATAGCTGATAATAACGGATCATAACTGATAATAACGGATCATAACTGATAATAACAGATCATAACTGATAATAACAGATCAATAACTGATAA